GAATTAAAATTCAGAAACTCTGAATCCCAATGCTATGTATCGGTTTAAGGCTCATAAACGAATTGTGTAAAAGGGAAGACAATTAACTGGATGAAAGTCGATAATCGATTAGCAATAACTGTTGTCATAGCTACAAGTAAGAGAATTTTGTGCATTTGCTCAGTGGATATCAGCCCGTGGAATAGATATTGAGATTTGGGGATAGTTTGAGTCTAAGCCTTATTAAAACCTAAATGCAAGTTGTTTGTTTGTTTTTTTCTAATGTAGCGAAATTGGTATCCACTTAGTGAACCTATTAAATAAACAAGGAGCTCTTTTCAAATATGCTGCATTGAAGGCATTAGCCCTAATTCCAGACGTCTGCAACTCTTACAACATTAAAGAGCCTTTTAATGACTCCAAAATTAATGTCAGAAAATTCAAGCATACACTCATTAAAAGAAGTTAGTGAAGGTGGTTTTGGGGTTGTTACATTTATTTATTACCTTTGTAGATTGATCCAGCAAATCTAAACAATAAATTGTAACTTGAAGGATGAATGGAAGCCAACTATCAAGGAAGATCTTTAAATGTCAAGCCGTCATTACTCTATGAACGTTGGAAAATATGTTTCCTTTTTGAGGGATCATTACTGAAGTAGGAAATCGAACTCTAGACAATAGGTCCTCTAATCTTAGACAAAGCTCAAATAGAACCTCTCATCGTACCTTTTTTACGTAAAGTGAATAGAAGTTGAGTCACGTTAAGATGACGAAAAATGGCGTCTGACTGCTGGTCAAGTTAGGAAGCCACGAAAAAATCAGATTCGCTTAAAGAACTCAAAAAAATATTATAGAATGAGGTTTAATCTAAAGGATACCGCAAAACTAGGACATTTGGCATGAACTTAGATTTACCCCGGGCTCAATTGGTTAAGTTTCATGACAGATAAAATTTCGTGAACTTCACTCTAAAAGCATAAATTTGTGTTAAAAATGTTTAGCTTTTTGATCTGTTAACGCAATTTTGAACAGAAAATCGAGGCTAGACGGCGTTTTAGCCATTTCAAGCATTGAATGGCTGGCTACTCTCCCAGAAAAACGGCTAAAAGTGGGTACAATAGAACCAAGAATAAATGCATTCATGAAATATGAGGAGCAAAAATGGTAGATCCTATTTTCAAATGAAAGCTTATCTAACTAATTCTCAACCTTAAAACCGTAGCTGACTAGATTAGTAAAGGTACAAATGATAAAATGATGTGCTCTAAGTACCAGATAAAAAATTGCGTCAGAAATACAATAGAATTTTATTCAAGTTTATTTTAAGTAGTTGTA